CCCCAGTGTGCAGTTAGCCTTAAAAAGCACAGAGTCCTACCCTACTTTTGGTTGCCGGTAGAGGACAAATGTTCCCCTTTGCGAAAACTCCCTGCAAATACAAACCCAATACCGCAGGCAACCAGAATGGGGTAAACTTTTCTAAGTGCTAAGAGCCAGTTTGGTGTAGTGGTTAAGAGCGCAGACTCTAACCTGGGAGAACTGGGTTTGATTCCCCACTCCTCCACATGCAGCTGCTGGTGTGACCTTGGGCCAGTCACACGTTCTTTCAGAGCTGTTCTCTCAAGAGCTCTCTCAGCCCCACCTACCTCACAGGGTGTCTGTTGTGGGGAGAGGAAGGGAAGGAGACTGTAAGTTGCTGAGACGCCGAGTGAAGGGCAGGGTATAAATCCAAGCCTTCTTCTCCTCCTCCTCCTCGGCTGTTCAAAGCTGGGATCCTCTACCCGCAGTGGTGCAGTTCATTTTATCACCTTAGATTTCTGCCACCTTATTCTCTAGCGTCCCATTTAAGAATGTGAGGGGAAAACCCTGACTAAATGTCCCAAGCCGAGAGCAGAATGTCAAGTGTTCCCGCTGGGAATTGTCAGGGAATTTATACTTGGTTTGCCAAATTTTTCTTTCTTTCAGTGGCTTGGCTGATCTGTGGGGCTTGCAAATGTCCCTGTGCCACTGGGAGATTGTTCCCCTCCAGTAATATGGGACTAGGGTAGCTTCTTTCCTATTGACAGTAGGAAAAGTGGGGTATAAGTAGGGTTGCCAGCTCTGGGTTGGGAAATACCTGGGGATTTGGGGGGTGGAGCCTAAGGAGGGAGGAATTTGGGGAGAGGAAGGTTTCCAGTGGGGTATAATGCTACAGAGCGCACCTTCCAAAGTGGCCATTTTCTCCAGGTGAATTGAATTCTGTTGCTTGGAGATCATATGTAAGAGCAGGCAATGCTCCCTCTAAGCTGTGTGACCTGGGCTATCCAGGTCTGGGCAAGGGGGCTTTGACTCTTGAAAGCTTCTACCCCAACAGTCTTGTTGGTCTATAAGGTGCCACTGGACTCCAGTCTAGAATGCCACCCAATGGACCTTCTCAGAATTGTGACAAGTCTTCAGTAACACTCGGGCTTGTTGACAAAGCAGTGTACAGATAAAATTGCTCGCTTCCCATAGTTTGGCATCGCCTTGATAAGGTAGTCTGTGCTAGAATCGACTTTGGACTTTGCTATATAAATTTGCTTGACTGAGATTTTGGATGTCACCTAGGCTTACCAAGTGGCGGCGGGGGATCCACATGTCTTCACAGGATCCCTGCCGTGGGGACGGCGATACGTGTTGCAGCCGCCGTCGCCAGGATGTGACGCTACGCGTCGCTCTGGCAACGGGACTCCAAACAGCCCCGTTGCCAGAGCGACGCGTTGCGTCACATCCTGGCGATGGCGGTGCAACACATATCGCCATCCTTGCGGCAGGGATCCTGTGAAAACATGCTGATCGCCGTCCCCACGGCAGGGATTCTGTGAAGACATGCGGATCCCCCGCCGCCACTTGGTAAGCCTAATGTCACCAGAGGATCCAGATAGGTTCTTGGGGAGGCTTGATGCAACCACTTGTCCCCTTGATCACCTTGGCTGACAGAACCCAGCCGTGACCTCTTTGTAAAACTGGCCAGTCACATGATAAATGCAGCAATGAAGGAGGGATGTACTCCATCTGCCTTCTGTTTAAAAGTTATCACTGGATTCGGCTGAATTAGGCAAGTATAGGCTGGTATTTATATATGACAATGATGAGCAAAGTCATTAGGAAGGTGAGGCAGACAAACGACAATTGCTTTTGGAGGATTCCAGTTATCTTGACCCATCTGAAAACTGAGACAGGATTGATCACTCTCAATCATGACGTCTACTCAAAGGGGACAGAGGGAACTCTTGAGCTCTTTGCAGTTTAGATAACCATTGACCATCATATCAGTCTTGTGTGTCTTGCAGGGCTGGTGGCTGTAGGGTGCACTTATTTTATGGTAGTTCCAGTCCTACCCAGAGGACAGATCACAGTAGTACTGGGAAATTACTATTCGTCTCTCTGAGACTGGTCCCATGTAGGTCTCTCATCCGTGCCACTTAACATCTGTATGAAGTCACTGAGAAATCTCTGGAGATTCGGTGTGAGGTGTCATCGGTATGTCGTTCATACCTGCTAAGTCTCTTTCATCTCAACCAGCCAAAGCTTTCTCTGTTCTAACAGGTGGATGGAAATAATGGCTGGGCATTGGTGAATATATTGAAGCTCTGACCAGAAAAGTTAGAGATGATAGGGGTAGTAGGCACTAAGGACCAACTGGATGGGGAAATGCTTGTTTCCTGGGTGGGGGTTTCTTCTAGATCTTACCATAATTAAAGAACATCAGAGGCCATGGCTAGAGGAAACTCTTACCAGCTCTAATGGACCTGTCGACTGCACATGCTATCAGAATGAGGATAATGCTGCCATTGTTCATTTCTTGGGAATGTCTAGATTAGACTACTGTAATGCAGTCTGTGTGGGGCTACACTTGTAGACAGTGCAGTTGGTCCAAACTCTGGCTGTTCATCTGCCAGTGGATATAAGCTGAAGGAAATATGTAATTCCTCTGCTTTGTGAAGTATGTTGACTGACTGTGTTTCTGAGAATAATTCAAGTTTTTGGTTTTGACCTGTAAAGCCCTAAAATTAGCTAGGGACCGAAGTACCTGATGAAGTACCTGCTCCTGTATGAACCTTCGTGCTCTGCCAATGAGACCCTATTCCAGGTGCCACCTTTTGCTGAAGCAAGGTTAGCATCCATGAGGAGGAAGTCTCCGTTGAACAGCTTTTCCTGTCATTCTGTGGAATTCTTTTTATTGTGATGTTTTTCTGTCTCGGTTGCATAGCTCTTTCCGCACGCAGGTTAAGGCTAGTGGAGTTCAACTATTCGACGTTTTTCATGTTGCTGATTATTGCAGTCTTGCTAGTGTTTGATGTTTTCATGATCTGCAATGTTTGAAGTCTGTTGTAAGGCACTAATGAAAGCAACGTATAGATAAATGCGGGCTTCCTTCCCTCTCCAAAAGGCAGAGATGTTGAATGCATCCAGTGGCAACTGAATTTCCCAGGGCTCACAGGGGTAGGTTGGCAAAGAATTTGGGGCCACCACGAAGGCTGAAGGTCTTTTCTATCTCTGTAGGTGATGCTGGGAAGGACACTCGCCGGGCAGGCCATTCGACTCAAGAGCCCCTCCTCTTGCAGAGCCCGGGTCCCCTGCCGGAGGTCAGCGTGGGCAATGTCCAGCTGCAGCAGCTCTCCCTGAGCAGCGATACCAAACAAGAATTTGAGACGGTGTGTGGAACGAGAGGCTTGGGTGTGGGGCCCCCCCATTTCTGGGAGGGAACGGCTTCCCCACCCCTGGACGTACCTTGCTAGAACTCTCTAAACTTCTTCCTGTACAGCCCTTCCTCCGTAGTGATACAGGGAAACTTTCAGTTCTGCATCTTCCCTATCGGTCTCCATTTCTCTCTCACACCTTCTTTTGAAATGTACCCAGTGTACATTGGTGACCCTTCTAGGACCACACAGCTTCCGAATGCAGGTGAATGACTGCATGGGTGGATGCTAGGGTTCAGACTACACAAATACTGCAAGAAGTGCGTGCAATTAACACCAATTGTAAGAATCAGTTGACTCTTGTTGTTGAACTTCAAGCTGTTTTAATCTTTCTGTCTTTCAACAGACGAACTTCCCCGGAGTTTTACCGCTCGTTTCGACACATTCTTTCTCAACGTAACGGTTCCAATTTTGCATCCTTACAATATCTGACATCGGACTCTCTCCAATTCCACGTAACTTCAAGAGCTCTTGGCAAAGTACTTGCTGTCAGTTTGTAAAAGTACTTTTGTCAAGAGCTCTTGAAGTTACGTTGAGAAAGAATGTGTCGAAACGAGCGGTAAAACTCCGGGGAAGTTCGTCTGTTGAAAAACAGAAAGATTAAAACAGCTTGAAGTTCAACAACAAGAGTCAACTGATTCTTACAATTGGTGTTAATTGCACGCATTTCTTGCAGTATTTGTGTAGCCTGTATCTTAGTTATACTGCTGCCCCCCCCCCACCTTCTTTGTCACACTGGATGCTAGGGTTGCCAGACCCCAGGTCCAGGTGGCGGTTCCCCTGCTGCTGGGGGCTTCAATCCACCCCCGGCCAGCTGGCCAGTGGGGTAATACCCACCCCAAGACCCGTCCCCCAAAAGTGACAACCCTCTCCTTCCCCTCCTGCCTGATTTTAAGGGCTTCAGCTGATCGGCGGGATCATGTGGCCTGCCGACCAGCTGGAGGGCCCTTTAAATCTAGCAGGAGGGAGACAGGTGGTTGCCGGCTGCAGGCCCGGCTTGCAAAAAGACCCTTTAAGGGTGGGGCCATGGGATGGGGCATGGGGGCATCCCTTCCCACCCCGGAATACCCCCCAAATCCCCCCGCTGGAGTGATGAGGGGACCTAGCAACCCTACTGGATACTCCTCCTGTATAAAAACACCTCAGGGTTGCCAGGTACTGCCTGGCAACCAATGGGAGGGTTGGGTTGTGGGGAGGCAGTGTCCCAGGGGGGGGAAATAAGATTTTGTCTACTTATAGGAAGTTCTGACCATAGTGTTGCTAGTGATTCCTAGAGTTACCCTGGTCACTTCCAGGTTGCTGTAGGAATTGCCAGGGACTCTTATGGTCCGAACTTCCTATAAGTCGATGAGGCCTTATTTTTCTAATATTTCTCCCCAAGATGATCATGCCCCCCCCCCAATTTCCACCCACCAATTGGGTGAACATCGGTGTGGAAAGGGGCCTCAGTTACCTGGAGGTCTTTTGCCATAAGCAAGCAAATGGGAATCGTGACCCACTCACCCCCTTCCCATCCTGAGGGAAGCAGACTCATTGGTCAGAAGAGTTCTGGCCTGTTCTTCTCCATGACCCAATAGATTTCTGCCTGTACAAACTTGCATAGAAAGAACGTCTTCTGAGACAAAACCCCCCCAAAGAGGAGTGTGCCAGGAATTATCTTGTTTCGGTCTCCCAGTGCATCCCACAGCTAATCCTACCTAACAAGAGTCTGTTTCTAATTGGCAGGGCCCGTGTCGCACCCATTTGGCAGCCATCTTGCAGGAGCTGAAGGCCCCACTCTACTTGAGCGGCGAAGATATCTTCATCCCCAACTGTGACACCAAGGGCTTCTACAGGCGGAAGCAGGTACGGACCGAAAAGAGGCCTGACGGTTCTCAAAGGAGCTGGCAGTCTAAAAACTGACCTTCGGCTGTTTCCGAGGAGGAGTGCATTCTATGTCCAGAATATCAAGGCAGTCAGTAATGGCTGTGTTATCACAACCTGTAGCTGCTCTCACAGCTCCCACATGGGAGGAATAGTGAAGATACACATTGGCCCCCTTAAATTGGCAACAGTGTGAGGGAAGATAATCCAGCTTGAGCACTGCTGCTGATTCTGTGTCGCACAGAGGGTAACCTCATTGCTTGTATATGCTTTGCTGTCCTTTTTTTCCCCCTAAGGCCTTGGGAACTCCTAGGGAGTTGGTTGCTGATAAAAGGATGCGGGTTTTGTTTTTATTCTTTGTGTAGACAGAACGGAAACACTAGATTGTGTTGCAAGCAGCTGTCTCGTTGTAGCTCAGTATGGTCTCGATGCTGTGTCACCACAAAAACCAGCCTACTTGCAAATGGCATGGGGGATAAGAAATCCCTGGCAGCTGGTTGTCATTGGTGGGATGGGTGTGGGGAGACTGGAACGGCATTAAAGAGGGCAGGAAGCAGAATCAATATGGGATGAATGGAAGACTTGGCTGCGCCTGCTGCCATCTCCTTTTTATACGCAGAAGGAATGCTGAAAATGATATGCACAGAATGAGCAAATCTGCATACGCTGACTTGGCAAGCCAAGGGGGATAGAAATTTGCTCATTAGGAATCAAAGAGATTCTCTGGATGCTGATTTCAGAACCCAGCACCAGCTCGGCACTGGCGTAGTGTCATTGCTGAGACGCCCAGCCCTGGAGATGGATTTGAATTGCTGCGGCATCCATCTAACATTAGGGAAAGCTTCCCAAACCAGGGGTAAGGGGCTATAATGCAGGATAGAGCTTCTCTTGTTCAAGCTGGAAGGCCCACTTTTCAGCTGCTGGCATTTCCAGCTTAGATGCTAATCAGGTAACAGAAGTGGGCAAGAACTCAGCAGACAGACCACTGACATTTCTGTTCTAATACTTAGCAGAACATAAGAACATAAGAGACGCCAATGTTGGATCAGGCCAAAGGCCCATCCAGTCCAACACTCTGTGTCACACAGTGGCCAGAAATACCAGTGCCATCAGGAGGTCCAGCAGTGGGGCCAGGACATTAGAAGCCCTCCCACTGTTGACCCCCCCCCCAAGCACCAAGAAGACAGAGCATTACTTGCCCCAGAGCCCCTAGCTATACCTTGTGGCTAATAGCCACTGATGGACCTCTGCTCCATATGCTTATCTAATTCCCTTTTGAAGCCATCCATGCTTGTAGCACCCACCACTTCCTGTGGCAGTGAATTCCATGTGTTAACCACTCTTTGGGTGAAGAAGTACTTCCTTTTATCCGTTCTAACCCGACCGCTCTGCAGTTTCATGGAGTGCCCACGAGTTCTTGTATTGTGCGAAAGGGAGAAAAGTACCTCTTTCTTTACCTGCTCTTGAATTGTTGTGTAACTAAGTGACAAAATTGTTGTGTAACTAAGTGACAAAAGAGCATAGGAAGAAGAGATCGTTCCTACAATAGCGTTGTAAACTAGGAACAGATCTTCTGTGCTAACTTTCAATCTCTAGCTCCATCCCTATTTATCGTCTTAAAAAGCAGAAAGCTAATAGAGAAGGAAGAACCTAGGTCTTGTTCTAGTCCAGGTACTGTTGAATTCCAGTATTCTTGGGCTCCACACTGTTCTCCAGCCAGCTCGTGGGGCTAGACACATGTTATGCTACATAGGCCAATCTTTTGGCAAGTGGTCCTGACAGCATCGCGTACAACCCCCAAAGCAAGTAGAACAAAGGCTGCTTGTATGTGGGGGTGGTGGTGGTGCAGAAACCAAGCAAAGCAGCTGCTGCAGGTAGCATGGGTGGGAACGACACTTGCTGCTGCCCCCATTGCACCTGTGCAAAAGCAGTTGCACCTGTGTCTGGTTCCCCCTCCCCTCCCCAAGTATGTAAGCCCTTCTAAGGACTAGGGGTGGGGATGCTTTGCAATAGCCAACTACCCTGTGCCAGTTTAGCTCCTCCCACCTTCCCATAATGGAACCAGGTGGGACATTCAGAGGGGGACTCTCTTGCTTTTTAACTGGAGGAAAGCCCTGGGAACCCCATGAGTCGTGCTCAGAAGGAGCGCAGTGTCATGTGGATGTTCACCTTTGATCCGGGCAGCTGCTGGATTCTGTGCAGAGAAAAATCCCCACGCAGGAGCAATGGGTTGTCCCACCCCTCTCATGACTTCCTTGATTAACACGTGGAATTCACTGCCACAGGAGGTGGCGGCGGCTACAAGAGGGAATTAGATAAACATATGGAGCAGAGCGCCGAAGAATAGATTCTTTTGAACTATGGTGCTGGAGAAGACTCTTGAGAGTCCCTTGGACTGCAAGAAGATCAAATCCGTCAATCCTAAAAGAAATCAACCCCGACTGTTCCCTGGAAGGCCAGATAATGAAACTGAAGCTCAAATACTTTGGCCACCCAATGAGAAGGGAGCACTCACTGGAGAAGACCCTGATGCTGGGAAAGATTGAAGGTCAAAGAAGACAGGGCCGCAAAGGATGAGATGGTTAGACAGTGTCATAGATGCAACGAACATGAAGTTGAGCAAACTTCAGAAGAAGGCGGAAGACCGGAAGGCCTGGCGTGATCTGGACCATGGGGGCGCAAAGAGTCGGACTCGACTGTGCGACTGAACAACAACAAATGGAGCAGAGGTCCATCAGTGGCTATTAGCCACAAGGTATAGATAGGATCTCAGTCTGGGGCAAGTGATGCTCTGTATTCTTGGCGCCTGGGGGGGGGAGCAACAGTGGGTGGGCTTCTAGTGTCCTGGCCCCACTGCTGGACCTCCTGATGGCACCTGATATTTTTGGCCACTGTGTGACAGAGTGTTGGACTGGATGGGCTATTGACCTGATCCAACATTGGCTTCTCTTCTGTTCTTATGTTCTTAAAACCCATTTTCTTTCCTGAGGGCCAAAACTGTCAGCCAGTCTCTTACTGCCACTGGATTACAGTTTGGTCTCTGCCTGCATCACTGCTGGAATTTTGCTTCCTCCCACATGGACAGTTCTGCCCCCTCTCTGCAGTGGGAGTAAATACCATTCGGTTGCTCCCACTACAAAAACACAGCTGAGGCCCTTGCCTTGTAAGGAGACTGCCCTTTGCATCTCTGCGTGAGTCACTGCTCTGGGCTCACCTCCTTCCAATTAGGAGATGTGCACCGAATAATGAGTCATGCAAAAAAATAAAAATAACACCCCTCCCAATGCTGGAAGCAAGTGCATTTGGAGACAGGTGGTTTTGAGTGTTTCACACTTCAAAGGTAAACCTTTCACATGGAGGAGTGAAGGGTACCTCTGTCTTTAACTGGAGGCGTGAGAATACACCTGGAGAATACACTTGAACTAGAAGAATACACTTTAACTGTATTTAAGAATACACTTTAACTGGAGGCGTAAGAATACACACATGAACATATGGAGCATAAGGTTAATGAAGAGAGGGGGTCCCGGAGGCTTGGGGCTCTTTAGCTTGGAGAAACGACAGCTGAGGGGTGACATGATTGACGTTTATAAGATTATGCATGGGATAGAGCAGGTAGAGAAAGAAGTACTTTTCTCCCTTTCTCACAATACAAGAACTCGTGGGCACTCCATGAAATTGCTGAGCGGTCGGGTTAGAACGGCTAAGAGGAAGTACTTCTTCACCCAAAGCGTGATTAACACTTGGAATTCACTGCCCCAGGAAGTGGTGGCGGCTCCAAGCATGGACGGCTTCAAAAGGGAATTAGATACGCATATGGAGCAGAGGTCCATCAGTGGCTATTAGCCACAAGGTAGAGATAGGGACTCTCAGGTTGGGGCAAGGGATGCTCTGTATTCTTGGCGCTTGGGGGAGGCAACAGTGGGAGGGCTTCTAGTGTCCTGGCCCCACTGGTGGACCTCCTGATGGCACCTGGTATTTATGGCCACTGTGTGACAGAGTGCTGGACTGGATGGGCCATTGGCTTGATCCAACATTGGCTTCTCTTATGTCCTTATGTCTACTCAGATTGGCAGTGGCTTTCCAGGGTCTCAGGGAAGAGGTCCTTCATATTGCCTGGTCCTTTTAACTGGAGGTGCTAGGGATTGAACCTGGTGCCTTCTGCATGCCAAGCAGATGCTCTATCACTGAGCCACAACCCCTCCCCTCTTCCTTTGCTCCACTGTTCTGTATTCCACCACACTGCTTAGCCAGCTTTGAAGCTTTCCTCCATCTGCAGGAGGAAGGCTTTCGATCTGGCCGAGCCCCAGGGGTAAGAAGCAAGCCGAGGAATCGTATTAGCAGCCCAAGGAGCAAAACCTCCTCTGGTGCCATTTGCCTTCTGCTGGAAAGTCTGAGGTTTGCTTTTGTCAGCAGCTGCGTGCATAGCTGGAATTGCCGTAAGGGGAAATCCTGTACTAGGCAGGAGGTCAGGCCGGGTGAGCCGATGTCTCACTTGGTCTTCTGACCTGACCTTTTCCCTGTCTGAGTCAGAAGTAAA